AACGAAACTGGTGGAAGATCACGTCACAGAGAGTCCCCGTGCTCAGCCAGTGGAAAGCCTTTCCACACACCGAGGGAACATTTGTAATAAAACATGTTAAAATACTTCTCTGTATGTAATAAAATAACTAACTTTACCTTTCCTGCTCTCTCTTTTCTTTTCTCTACATGTCAGAGAGGATTAAACTAAAGATTTGTCATTAATAAACTAAGTTGTGTGCAAGTTTCCAACAAGTCAACAAAAGAGTGAAACAAAAACATTCATTCTCCATCTGTTTATTAGAGATGCGACGGACTACTCAACAATCCATTTAAACCAGAGCTTCCCAAAGTGTGGGGCCTGCCCCCTGTGGGGGAGGGGGGGGCGCAGAGCCATTGCAGGGGGGGCACGGTATGAAAAGGAAAAAAAAATGGACACTGCTAGTGATCGATGTCGCGATTCTGTGCTGTTGAGGGGAGCACGGCATGGCACGGGGGAGATGACAATGATCTACAGCCGATCGGGACACAGAACACAATGCGCTTTAAAAAAAAACAGCATGCAAAATTGCACTAAAAGAATTCGTGAAACAGCGAGGCTTCAAACAGTGAACCGCGTTATAGCAAAGGACCACTGTAATTGTGAAGATAAGTTCCAACATACCCTTCGTAAATACTAACATATAGAGACCCTTGCCCAAAATCATTCATGTATTTTTTTATGTCCTGTGGCTTTTTTTCACGGTTTGTTGACATGCTGTGTAGGTGTGTACTGATATCGACATAATGGGGAAACATCTGGCTTTGACTATTGTTCACCTGTAGTTTGAATGCTGGACATTGGCCTGTTAAATCATAAGAACAGTCACTATACAGAGATGTGCTTCTGAATGTGGACGACGTGTCTTCTGCATGCAGTAATGCAGTTCTGCTTATGTTGAGCGATGTAAACAAACAATCGATCTACACACTTCGAACATCAAAATTGATCATTTGATTTTTTATGACACAGCAGTGGTGAGTGTTCCCACCCTCTGCTCTTTGTTAACGTAATCTTTCCGTTTTCGAGTTTTGGTCATGATTTTTGAGTCCACCTTCTCAGTAGCAGTTGACTGCAAAATAAAGCAACCAGAACTGTACAACCTTACATCTGGTCTTAAAACAGGAAGTTAGCATTTTCTCGTGCACAGGGTCTAAACCGTGGCGCACAGCGTGACGTGAAAAAAGGCACATACCTTTGACATTGCGTGACGAACTCTGTATGAGGTGTGAAATAAACCCCAATGGAGTTTGAAAACAAAATATGTGTGTGCGTGTTTGAGGGATGAATAATATTATTTATGAATTGGATAAATAATATATGTTGTCTGATAGCAGAACAACACTTGTTTCACAGCAGCGTACTGCTGCTCCTACTGCTACTGCTGTTAGTAATGTTAATACTACTACTATAAAATGTCAATACTTGTGGGATGACTGTTCATATATTTCCAGTTTATATTATCAGGTTTAATCCCATTGCAGACACATTAAGCTGTACAACAAACCTCAACATGAGAAGGAAGCTGCTCGCCACAGCAGTCTGTGGTTGTCGTGTTTCCATCAGTGTTTATTTTTGTGCAAATACATCATCAAACAGCCCCTAATTCAGTGACAAGCTACAGTATATAAGATGAGCCGCTGTCACACTTTGACAAGTTCATCAGCTGGTAACAAACCTGTTCACAGCTCAGATCCAGACTCAGATTTGGTGCCTTTCAGCGTCTCAACATGTGTTCGAGTCTCTCCACCAGCCGCCTGATTCTTCTGATCTCCCTGAGTGTGATGATGCTCATCTCTGTATCAGGTACACTTTTTATTTCTGGAGTTTGCTCTGTTGTGAAAGTTCAGTAACAACAGCTAAAAGTCTGTTTCTCAACATGGTTATGAATCTATCTGACCTTAATGTAACTTTCTAACTGACAACTAACTGTGTGAAAAGAGACTAAAGCAAGACTGTAGCAGAGCAGCTGTTTCTGGACAAATTACTGTCAACTGCATTTAATAAAATCTATATGATTGATTAAATCCAGTTGTATTGTTGTCAGCTATGTAATTTTTTGAAACTAACATAATAACTTGATCAGGAAATTATTTATACAACATCTGAGAGTTGAGATTGTTTCATTCTCCATGATATCTTAAAGGGTTTGAAGAATAATGACAATGTGTGTGATGATGTGCTGCAGGGGCTGACCACGTGGGGAAAGCCTGCTATGATGATTATTCTAACCAAAATGCAAGAACCACAAAGTTTACACCTAAATGGGCCAAAAACATCATCAGCTGCGTTGAAGACAACAGACCAAAATGCCTTCATGGCTATGAGTAAGTAGAACTACTTCAAAATATACTTAAACTAAATAAAATGTAGAAACTAATTCTTGATTAAAAATCCACAAACACAACAATGAAAATGAGATTTGCACTGAAACCTTGATGTAGCAGATAAATGTTCCCCTCTCTAACATCCAGCACTACTGTTTGCTCTGTGATTGTTTCTAATGTGGTGACGTTGGGGAATCTGTGAGTTTGTGCTTATGAGCTTGGAGGAAACCTGAGCTGTTCTCTCACAGCATAATGCAAAATGGACCCTGCACATGTTCAGTTAACAATAAAGTGAAAATGTCCAATCCTTTGATTTTTCTTCCTGTCTCTGAACTTCTTTCTTTATTCTTCTGTTTTTTCTTCCAGGGTCAAAACACGTGCAGGAGGAACATTTTTCCTCAGACCAAACACCGAGTGGCTTAAAAGGAAAATAAACGAGGTGAGAAACAAATTACTTATAAAAATGTGGACACGAAGTTTAGAAAAACCAAAAGTGACTTTCTAGCAAAAGTGTGAAGATTATAATATAGGTAATAAAAAGACACTGTGTATATCTGTCTAATGGTGCTTCTCGTTTTTCTTTTCATGTCACCTTCTCTCTTTCACCACCACAGGGAACTCTGCTGTGTCCTCCAGGGATTTTGTAAATGAAGATGATGGAAACGATGAAGCAAAGTAAAGCAGCAAATGGAAACAGTTCTGCTGATTTATGATTTCACACTTTTACAGAAATATTTGTTAAGAAATGTTGATTATTGTTTGTAAATTACAGATAGAATTTAAAAACCACTTTTGTTTTCATATTTAGTAAAAATGTCATTAAATATGAATGTTTGAATTTTTCTTATTCTATCTTCAAGCTGTGAACAAAGACAAAATCAATAAAAGCCTTTGAAACTGCATTCTTTAATGGTCTGTGTCATCATTTACTAATTACTGTAAAAAATGTAACTAATGAGATATCACAGCTGTGAGGTGCTGCATGTGAGATGCGAATAAAATGTAGATGTATATAAAATTAAAATGAACACATCAGATACCCCCATGACTCTAGTGGAGGAGAATGCACATTCCCTGTTTATGTTAAATTTCATTAGTTTTATTTCATTAATGTTGGGTTGCAGGAGCAGCAGACTGAGCACAGACACTCATGCCTCCCTCCCCTCAAGAAACACGCACCGTTATCATTCCTTACGCTGCACATGATATTCCCACTCCTCACCTTTAGCACCTCTCACTACAGATGCCAGTGGAAAAGGTGAGAAAGAGATATAAGAGCAGATGAAACAGGAAGTCAACACACTCAGACATCTTCGCCTTGTTTTAAAACATAAAAACACATTAGGAAAAGACACACCAGTACCTTCTTGATTACAGCTCCTCCTGCAGCCTCCTCACTCTGTCCACTAAATACAAATTAGAGGTTGCGACATCTTTCAACTCGGAGTGGGAACAGGCACGAATCAGAGAAAGGAGAATGGTGACTTGTCTTTTATTGCTATAGTGATTGTGGATTCTTGTAGTT